TACTTAAGGAACCTCATGTTTAGAAAGTATTTTGGCATGTGACAAGGTCGTTTTTTTTTATGTAAGATTTTTTGTGACAAGGTCTAATGACAAGATTTATTCCCTTTTTTGCATTTCCAGATATGTTGGTAGGCTTTTTTTTTTTTTTTTTTTTTTTTTTTTTGTGAAGAGTACTAGTAAGCCAGTTGAAATACTTCCAAAACTGAATGAATTGGCTAGATTTGCTCCTGACCAAGAAATTGACCTTTTTGAGGTGTGTTACTGTTGCCTTCTCTCTGTTATTGATACAGTTATCGATCTTATTGACGTGACATGAGAATTTGTCTTTTTACTTTACAGGAAATAAAATTTGAACCTTCTGTCATGTGTGAAAGACTGGACAAAAAGGCTTCATTTCGATTTAGCCAGGTTTTTGTCTTCTGTTTTCCCCACCCAGTTGCTGAAAGCTCATATCTTCTCAGATGTAGATTTTCTTTTCTGACTGACTTAATTTTTATAGATTGAAGATGGTGACATTATATGCTTTCAAAAGAAAGCTTCTCCTGAAGTTGAAGAACAAGTCCGATTTCCGGATGTTCCTTCATATCTGGAATATGTAAAAAATCGCCAGGTGAATCCCGATACTGCTCCAGTTTTCGCTAAGCTGGTGATGCTCTTTATGTTGATGTTAATTCTTGTCCCTTATTTTTTGGGTTTATGGTCCTCTATGGTGGTTCCAAAGGAAATACGTTTCAAAACTCCCCTGGGTTTTTGCCTTGACTAGTTGCATTTTTTTTGTTACTGTATATGTGACATCTTTCTCGCCTTAATTTATGTTTTATGCTCGTGTACACCGTACAACTGGCTCTTTATGTTTTTCTTTCTCCATTTTTGATTCCTTAAATCTGAGTTCGTTGTTTACAGATTGTCCACTTTCGAGCACTGGAGAAACCGAAGGAGGATGATTTCTGTCTGGAGTTGTAAGTTTATTTGGTATCTTATCTTTCAATTTATTGCAAAGCATTTGCTTACATCTATAACTGTTTGTTTTTGTAAAATTACAGAGCAAAAAGTGATACATATGATGATGTAGTGGAGAGAGTGGCGCAACGGCTTGGTGTGGATGATCCCTCCAAAATTAGGCTTACTTCACACAACTGCTACTCTCAGCAACCCAAGCCTAACCCCATCAAATATCGGTCCGTGGATCATTTGGTAGACATGCTAATCCATTACAATCAGGTTTGTTAACATGAACTGACTTTATCTTGGGAGCACATGGTGACGTTTAACGCTTTACTCATCATAGAAGTGGACAGTGGTATACTATTTTGGTACGATCTAATGTGCCAATGGACTAACCACATTTCATTTTTTTTGGGTGGGTGATAGATTTCTGATATTCTTTATTACGAAGTTCTGGACATTCCTCTGCCAGAATTACAATGTCTGAAGACGCTTAAAGTTGCTTTTCATCATTCTACGAAGGATGAGGTGTGTCTAGTATGGCAAAATCATTTGAATCAAATCAAATTATTACTTTTCCTCATTACATATTTTTTCATTGCTTTCAGGTTGAAATTTTGAATGTAAGATTGCCTAAGCAGAGTACCGTGGGGGATGTTCTTAATGAAATCAAATCAAAGGTATAGATAGGTGTAGCAACTTGAATTGCAATATTGAGTCTATGAACGGAAGAAAGCAATTTCTGCACCCAGCAGGAAAAAAGCAGTTTCCTAATGTGGTAGATTTCTTATGTCTAGATGATTATGTATTTTAGGTACTTTATGCATTGCTGAATGTCGTTAGATGGATTCAGGTTCTGTGGAGAACATGTAGGAAAAGGATACAGTCTTGTCTAACTCGTGTTATTTATTTACCTTAATAATTGAAGAGTTGAACCGTCAACCTACCCCAACTTGTTTGGGATCGAGGCGTAGTATTAGTAATAATTGAAGAGTTGGTATTTGCATTCATCTCCTACACTACGCCAGTGTGTTTTTCTGCTACTTTGGTTAATACTTTTTCCCTCAATCAGATTGTCATATTTCGGTTCTCAAGGGTCAGATTGACAGTTTTTTTTATGCTAGATTGGCAATGATCAAATTGTCTTTTGAAAATAACATTTAGAGATTTAGAAGTGACATGAGAAGTACAAGTTAGCAACTTTTGCTTTTCAATTTGTTTGACCATAATTGAGTATGTGAAAGTTCACTATTTTTGACATGTGGGGGTTGGCAATCTTTTTGTGATTTTGTTTTACTTTGGAAGATGGCGATCTTTCTTTTTTTCAGGCAATGGGAGTACTCTCTTTCCCATCAGATTATCTTATTTAAAACCATTAATAAAGGATTTGTAGTGAATGTGCACCCTAATGTTTTTCATCAGTGTATATATTATGAAGAAAATCTTTCTACATGCATTTTTTTGAGGACATTTGCCTCCCTGTCTTCTCCCTGCATCCTATCTACAAAGGAAAAAGGAAAAGATCATGCGGAGCTTGACTGGCAATTCGAGATTTAGATCTGTCATGTATATTGTGCAACCAATATTATATGTCTAATGGTGGCTTCGTTTTAATGATGGCTTCTGTCTCTGTTTAATGATGGCTTCTGTTTCTGGTATGAGAATATAACTACTGGCATATGGTTGCTGCAACAGGTAGAGTTGTCCCATCCAAATGCAGAGCTTAGGTTACTGGAAGTCTTCTATCACAAGATTTATAAGGTGAGTAGTCCTATAAGTTCAATACTTTTATCTTTTATTATGTTTGTGCTGACATTTTAGTTTGATAGCTAAATGGCCTTTCAAGACTAGCACTGCTTGCTTAAATGTTCTTTTGTCTGTCTATCTAATGCATGCTTTCGTTATTGCTAATCTGCCAGATCTTTCCGCTCACTGAAAAGATTGAGAATATAAATGACCAGTATTGGACATTGCGGGCAGAGGAGGTTAGTTCTCTAGGTGTTGTCTGGCTGGTTTCTTCTTTCTTCTCTCTTCGTCATCTCCTTTTGGTCTTTTTACCTCTTTTTTTCAACAACAAAATAAAAAAAAACTGGTGAGGTTTTGAAAGTTTAAGCAGAGATTTGAATAAATATTCCATTCCCCCCCCCACCATTTTTCAAAATGGAGAATCTAGGGTCTGGGTTTTAATTTGATTGCTATGCTTTGCTGTGTCAGCTTTAATTGTTAGGCCTTCTGTTCCACCGACCTCTGCTTTAGACAGTTCAATCTGGGCAAGTAATGATGATATTTATGGCATAAGTTAGTCTTGTTTACTTGCTTACTACTGCATCTATTTTATTTTAATTTTTTTTTTTGCAGATACCAGAGGAGGAGAAAAATCTTGGTCCCCATGATCGTCTAATTCATGTTTACCATTTCACGAAAGAGACTCCACAAAATCAAATGGTATTACATATTGGCTTGATTGATGTTACCGATACACTGCTGCATCTGATGTTACTAAGATGTTACTGATACACTGCTGCATCTGATGTTGAAATTAGTAACTGGATTGGTTTTCTACAGCAAGTGCAGAATTTTGGAGAACCTTTCTTTCTGGTCATCCATGAAGGTGAAACTTTAGCGGAGATTAAAGTGCGCATTCAAAAGAAATTGCAGGTTCCAGATGAGGAGTTTTCTAAGGTACAGTGTGTGAGCACAAAGCTTTTGCTGCAGATGGAATCTGCTTGCATACTTATAGCATGGTGGTTTAGTTTTTGAAAGCCCTATGACTGACTTGGGGGTTGACTCTGTACTCTTTTGATGGCTAGTGGAAATTTGCATTTTTATCATTGGGGCGCCCGGAATACCTTCAGGATTCGGACATTGTATCTAGCCGCTTTCAGGTAGTGTATTGATGTTATCTTGTATTTTCTTCCTCCCCTTGGATTTCATTTTCAACTTCCGTATAAATGTTTGGGTCAGCTTTAGTTGTGTTCTCTTTGTTTCTAAATTCTGTCCATGCTGAAAATGCTTATATTCCTGTTGCAGAGGAGAGATGTTTATGGCGCTTGGGAGCAGTACCTTGGATTGGAGCATGCAGATAATACATCTAAGAGGCCATATGTTAGTCAGGTAAATTCTCTAGGTCTTATGGCTTCTGCATAACTCCAAGATACTAGGAGTTACCTTTTGGTTATCGAATTAAACATGCGAGTAACTCAATTGTACAACCCAAATTTTGGCTCCTCTTAAAGGGCTGTTAACTCTTATAGTTATTGATCTGAGCAGAACATATTCTTTTGTTAGCCATTATATATATATATATATATATATATATATATATATATATATATATATATATATATATATATATATATATATATATTA